ATACATTAATGTTATTTAATCTAAGTTTTTACTGTTGCCAGTGCCAGTCAGCATCGGTCATTTTGCATGATGATTTTTTATTATTATTATAGTGAAAGTAATTACTTTGGACGGTAAAATATGTTGTCAGAACTCTGTACTTTGTTTATGTACTGGTTATAGGGAGTCATTTACATCTTTTGGCTATCAGAAACGGCAGTCTGAGGTTTGAAGCCCACCACAAGCTCAGAATCCGCCACTCATTGACCTGAAAACCTGCACCATTTCCGTAGAAAAGGGATAATTATGGAAGCTTGTTTCCGCCATGAAATAATTTATTTTTTAAAGATAATTACAACTTTTAACCTCACAATCTGGCTTTTTTAAGCTTGCAATTCTGAGTTATAAAGTTTAATTCTGAGGGGGAAAAGTAATCTCAGAATTCTGACATTTTGTCACAGTTGTGAGTTTATATATTACAATTATGACTTTAAAACACTCAAATGTGCGTTGAAATCACGCATTTGTAATAGCCAATTATATCTATCAAAATAAACAGAAAATAGTACAAACTTTGCAAAAGTGATCATTTTGAACAAGTAAACCTTAGACATTATTAAAAACATATTACTTTAGATATAGTATTTGCATCAACAATGTGTTTCATATACCCCGTGTGTCGGTTAAAGGTCCTCCCTGAAACCTACATTTATAAGACTTTTAAATAAAACAAAACACTTGTATGATTTATTTCCAAAATGTATTTGCCTACCAATGTTCAATAGGCTACTTTTTCCCGCAATCATTGCCTATAAGATAGTAACTAGTGAAAGAAGGTGTACTTAGCCCTGTTGTCACACTACACCTGGGCAAAGCCGTCTCTAGAAGTTAAGGATAAATTCAGTGTATATATTTGTAAGTTTGCATGTATAATGAGGTGGTGTTCAGTCTTACCCCCCTGCAGGAGTCCTGTGAGACACAGCAACAGCGTCAGGTGCCACAGCCGGCACCCGAAGTCCAACATCATTAAACTGATCGATCCTTTCGCTTTCTCCCTCATCTCGTCAGTTCAGGTTAACACAGGTGAGGTCAGGCCCGGTTCTGCGAGAGCAGCATAACTCAAACCCTCAGGAAGGTGATACTGTAATAATATAATGGCGAAACAGGTCTGGGAAACGCTTCCGTGTGTATTTGTGTTTGCGAATGCGCTCAGGACTGGACTGGAGATCCTCATCTCCTCTAATGTACAACGTGTTGTTCTGAGTTGAGCAATGCAACCAATCACAGCCATAGTCGTTGATCTTTTCGAACGCAACGGCCAATCAGAGCAGTTTGTGTGACTGTAAAGGGAGCGGTCTTGGCTCGCGTTCGAGGCTTGAATGAAACTTGTTTTACAGGATAACAGGATACAATCTGAGGTGACTAATCCATCGACATGCTGGATCACTGCGAGGGACAGAAATTACATGTTGAAATTAACGCATTAAAGCAATTTAAAGGATATAGATCAATAGAAAATGTTCGTGTAGCGAAATATTTTAGAAATCCTTTTGGTAAAAGTGATTTAGACTAATTTAAATAATATCAAATGTCTTATTAGCATCAGTGGTTAAGGAGATTTAATGTGGACTCTGTTCATTTCACATGGGTTCTTTATAGCAGAAATGGGTTTTTATGACTGATTCCTCAACCGGGCCTGATACAGGTTTCAACAAGAGCTCCTGAACATGATCATGTTCTCTGACGCAAGAGACTGTGACTTTAACACAAAACAAACATGTACCAACAACTGAAATCTTACTAATCATCAGTTACATTTTACAACTTGTCTACCGTCCGTCTCATTATCAAAAATGATAAAAGTCTGAACCACGGGTTGCTCTTTTTACTTGTGTGTGTATTTTGATTGTAGGCCAACCAGTAATTAAGATGTCATTTTTATTTAATGTAGCCTAATATTAAACTGAATCCAATAAATAATAATTTAAACAACAATCATTCACACTTTTTAAAGATTCTGTCATCATTTACTATCATGTCATTCCAAACATGTATGACTTTCTTCCTTTGAATCACTGGGTAACATGTGAACGAATAATAAGCATCTGGACATACACATAATAAACAACACAGTTTTAAAAACTACCAGCCCTGCAGGTCCTATTATAAAGGAAACTTTTATTAGATCTAGAAATCAGCCAAGAAAAGATTTCATATTTAGAATGTTTTTAATTCAATAAAACGACCACAAACATTTTGGTTTGTTACATTTGTGTGAGAAAAATAATAAAAAAGGGCATTCATTCCACCCAACAAACACTTTTTCCTCCAAATCGATACCATAAAGATCCCCTAAGATGTGTGACATATACTCTATTTCTGCAGCAGAGAGAAGTGTTTGCTTTAAAACATTTTAATAAAAAACAAAAAAACATAATTTGTTTCCTAGTTGCCACTGTTGCCTTGACTTTTGGCTTGCTTAGTTGATACAATATAGTAAAAAACGCTGTATAAAAAGGTGACTTGACTTCACTAGTGTTATTACTCTTCTACTGAATGCTATTTGTTAAACAAAATAAATTCAAGATAGATTTAAACCTTGAGAATTATTTATGCAAGCATACTTTGTAAATTGAACTTTTTAAAACAATATATAAGACAGATGCAAAGCAGACACTTAAAAGTCAGCCAGATCCACAGCGAGACTCCTAAAGATGCCGCCGCTTTGACCTGACAGCATTTATACAGCTATACACTCATTCAGAATTACTGAACACAGCAAAATACAGCAGAGAAACATCGTGAATGTGTCAAACGTCCATAATTCTGAACGTGGGTCATCATAAGTGACCCAAACTCTCCTAAAAGCCACTTCTTCGGTGAGCATCCGTTATGAAACACTCGACTACTTCAGACTATGCAGACGACTACTTCTGGATCAGAACAGGTTCTTCTCCCCTCACAGATTATTTTGGGAAAAATATTTCCTTATATAATATGTCATCATGCACTTACATTAAATATATTTTGTCTCTGCCAAGTTTTTAAAAATAAATATCTTGTATTTAACTGGCATCAATTACATTTATTTGAAAATACCTTTCCACTTCTCTCACACGCTTCTGCCCATCACAGGCATACAAGGCAAATGCAAGGCAAAACTACAGTTTTCTGCATTAATTACTCATAAAATGTGGTTTGATCTTCCGGTAGGGTGACCACCTGCTAATAAGCCCAAGGGGGGACAATGTGGGACTCTGCTGGTAGACTCACTGATAGTGGTTTACCCATTTCTAGCACACACCACCTTACATGGCACATTAATAATGCCCTATTACCTAAACATGTAATTGCTGATATATGCTCATGAATAGGCCAACCAATGTGTATTTTATTCTAAATAAAGATTAATATTTTGAACATTCAATGAATTGACAGATGCACTTCCACTTACGATTTACTTTAGCTATTTAATTTTATTTATTTTTTATTACAATTTATTCACTTTAAATAAATAATAATATAAAATTATAGGATTAACAGGAATTATAGTTGCTCAACACCACACAGAGGTTCACGGAACGAGAAGGTGCGCTGTCATGACAACCGTGAAAAAGTTGACAGTTCAACTGAGGTCATGTGGGTGTAGCAACCAGTGTTGGGAAAGTTCACTTTCTACATGAACTAGTTCAAAGTTCAGTTCACACATTTTAAAATGAACTAGTTCAGTTCAAACAATTTTTTTTAATACTTCTTTTCCATATGTTGCGAGCTTCTTCTTTTTTAAATTATTATTATTATTGCCACAGACAGCCCATATACAACCACAGACAACAATTATTTTATCGACGGGCAAAGTTTGAACGGAAATGTAAGATTTTTCCCATCCCCACTGACCTCGTCAAAAAAAAAAAGGGCGGCCGCGGTGCGACACTGGTGGCTGGTGTTGCCAGATTGGGTGTTTTTTCGTTACATATTATTAAAGGGATAGTTCACTTTGAAATTAATTTTTGATATGTTTTATCTTACCTCGAGGGCATCCAAGATGTAGGTGTCTTTGTTTCCACAGTATTTTCAATTTTGACATTTTTCAGTCAAACCGTTCTTGTCTGTCAGTCATATAATGGAGGTCTATGGTCACCACCTCAAAGAGCAGCACAGAGAAGTCCAAATTAAACATGATTTAATGACTCGTAAATGTAAGTACACATTGATGGCCTAAGACACGAAACGAGCGGTTTGTGTGAGAAAACCAACAGTATTTATATCGTTTTACCTCTTGTAATCATAGCCATGACAAAATGATCTGACGGCACGGGCGCTTCGGTCTGGAAGTGATCGCTTGCGCGCCGACGTCACTCTTTGTTTATACAGAGATTTCGGGAGTTTTACCTTTCACTAAACATATTTAGATATACGGGAAACCGCAATGGAAGACGATTTCGGTATATCTAAATATGTTTAGTAAAAAGTAAAACTTCCGAAATCTCCGTGTAAATATTGAGTGACGTCACACGCAAGCGATCGCTTCCGGCGTAACATTGAACTGATTCAGTTCGGTTCAGTTGGACATTGCACAACTGATTCAGATCACTGTGATTACACGAGGTAAAACGATATAAATACTGTTCGTTTTCTCACACAAACCGCTCGTTTCGTGTCTTAGGCCATCAATGTGTACTTACATTTACGAGTCATTAAATCATGTTTAATTTGGACTTCTCTGTGCTGCTCTTTGGTGGACCCCCTTAGCCTCCAGTGTATGACTGATAGACAACAACGGTTTGACTGAAAAATGTCAAAATTGAAAATACTGTAGAAAACAAAGACACCTACATCTCGGATGCCCTTGAGGTAAGATAAAACACACCAAAAATTAATTTCAAAGTGAACTATCCCTTTAAGGCCTGTTTACGTGTGTTTTAGTCTGGAACTTGGCTCTATGGAAATCTGGCGCCCTATTGAACGCGTTCAGGCACAACACTGGTGGCAACACTAGCGTGCTGAACTGTCAAGTAATGTTCGTTTGGCCTGTGTCTCAAGAATTTTTTATTTTTTTTGAGCAAGCATTGATTATGAGTGACACAGTCTCAATTTGCGGGATGCATGAATTGGGCTTCAAACGCTGTGCGCAGGACGGGTGGTCACCCTATCTTGCGGTCACAATTATTGATGAACATAATCTGACTAAACTGACACACATTCAGTTGAACATGTCATTGGAAACCCATATATATTGTTTCAAAGGGTTCACAAATGTATTCTTGCCTCTGAACTACATTAACGTGAAATATTGACAGTCATAGTTTTTATTCAGACGGCAAGTATTTGGACTTCCCGTCCGTTCCACTCGCTGTAGGATGTGTTTATCATTCCCTTCATTATCTAGTGTGATTCCTGATCCTCCTCCAGTGTTTGTGTGTTATCTTCTCCAGCTGACTAAACTTCACCTCCCTCATCGCCGATCTCACGTCTGTTCTCCTCCAGATACTGTGTCTCAGTGTGTTTTTAGGACTGTCCTTCGTGTCGTTTCTCGTCCTCTGGCACATGTAGTCTGAATCAGAGTTATTTACAGTAACTTTTGTTCATTTGTGACTCATTTCAATGTTCTCCTTCATGTCTTGTCTTGTCTCTCTGTCCACTATCCTCGGGTCGAGTGAAGTCGTGTCCACCATGTTGAATTTCAGCTTCAGCTTGTCCTTCTTTTTGCATGACCTTTGCATCATGTTCAATGGTTTAAAGCTTTGGTCTTTATCAGTCATCTTTGATTTATTTGGCACTTCTTTATCTAGTTTCCTCGTCGAGCTGCCGCTGAGACACAGTTTATTGCAGTGAATCCGCTTGTTCGTCTGTGTTACTGCAGCTTTTGTCCCTCAGATATCTCTGGTTCGGGTCAGAGGACATCCTCCTGTTCCTGGTCTCGGTCAGTTTGGTTTGAAGACGAGTCACTGCTGTTCATCTCCGGGTTAGCTGGTGAATCTGTAACGAAACTGAACAAGATAAGAACATCCACTCATTCATAAACACACAGTTAAAGTCAGATCACATGAGTTGCAGGGGTGTAAAGATATTTGAACCGAACTGAAAAACCGCGATTCGAATCGTGATACTCTAATTGCGTACCGAACACGCCCCGCCCCCTGCTACCCCGCCCACGCCCAGCCCGGCTCAATGGACCACATGTTATATGTACAGTACACAACGAATTCAGGTTTGTAGCCTAACCACCATTAACACCAAATAACAAGCTCCGTGTTTTGTTACTTTCGATAAATAGCAAGCTGTAATCTTTCCAATTCTGTCTATTTGATCGCGAAATTAAAACAATAAATGGCGTTTTGGCGCTCTTTGATGTGGCGTGACAGATCGCTGTAGGCTAAAGGCCAATTTATACTTCTGCGTCGAGGGTACGCCGTAGTGTACGGCGTTGGCTACGCACGTAGGCGACGCCGTTGTGAGCATTTATACTTCTGCGTTCAGGTCTTGTTGCTCTGCAGTACTGCTCCGAAACGCTAGTTGGCGGCGGAGAGTTTTAATGTTCCACTGTGTTTAGATTCCTCACGGCTAGGTTACTAAAAGAGAGCTGATCATGTTGGAATTGGAGCTTATTAAGGTGGAAAAACAGTTCACTTTAGTGAAATTACTAAAACTGAAAGGCAGAAATGAGAGAAGACTTCGGAGGAGATGAAACTTGTGGAAATCATAGACAGTGGTGGAAATGCGTGAGAAGGTACATGCGGAAATGCGTAGGAGGAAATGCGATGCTACCAAGCCAACCAATCACCGATCTTGCGGTCCGCGTCGTCGCGACGTGTAGTTACATTTTTGAGGAGGTGCGCGTCAGGCGACGGCGAAGGGTACGCGGTATGGGACGCGTCTGTGCGTATGCTACGCCGTACCTACTGCGCGCACCCTACGCAGAAGTATAAATTGGCCTTAAACGCGATCATCTCTTCCTCCGTTACTGAATAGACACCTGAAGGTATGTTGAAAGACACAGTATACTTACTGAAAGGCATCATAACTCGTGTAATCACTAAAACAGTGTTTCAGACGTCAATAAAACAGCATAGCTTTAGCTTGTCACTAGCATTATATTTACCTCAGCAGGCAAGTGATTCAGTCCTATAAATGAACACTAAATAAATGCACTATGTTACTTAACCTGTTAATGATATCTTGATTGTTTAAAAATATCTTTCATGAAAATGACAACTGTGTAAATTATTATATTTCAATAACAAATTAGAGTAAAAACACAAGTTAATGCAAAAACTGCCTTATGTTCAGTTTACATGTTTTCATACAATGTGTTGTGTGTTGATTATTATATCTAAAAAATAAATAGCATCTGAATTTAGGTTAAAAGTCTAGGCTACAACCGTTAATGTTATAGAAATGTGCGGCTGCCTATAAGGTTTACGGCATTAGCAGATTTTTTTTCCCTTGTGAAACGTTTAATTGTAATTGAATTAATTTAAAGACAAAGACATTTTTTTTTCATTAAACCACTGTTAAAAAAAAAAAAAAAAAGCAATTTTAGATTTCTAAACCAAACCGAACCGAACCGAGTCGTCAAAACCGTGGGAAAACCGAACCGTCAGTTTTGTGTATCGTTACACCCCTAATGGGATGTTTATTTCAGAATCAAACATATAATCAGTATTGTACCTGTGTGTCCTCTGTCTTTGGTCTCTTCTTTCTCTCCTGGTGTTTGATTATTCTCACGATTATCTTCAGTTTTTCTCTCGTTCTGCTGCTCAGGAAACTCCTCCTGTGTCTGCCTGTTCTCCTTCTCCTCTTCTAGTCTCTGTTTATCTCTCTCCTTCTTGGTTTTATCAGTGTTTTCTTCTGCATGTTCGCTGTTCTTCACATTTTTGTCTAGTTCTCCTTTATTTCCATTTTCGGTGTCCTCTTGGTTTGTGTCTGGGCTCTGTTTAAGAGTGTGTGTTTGGACGTCTTGATCGCGTATACTCGACTCACTGTTTAGTGCGCTGTCTGAATCAGTTTGTTTGCAGCTTTGGCTCTCTTGATCTTGATTTTTATCTTCTTTTATCTTTTGGTCACGTTCCTGTTCCTGTCCGGGACGTTTTCCTTCTTCTCCCCGGTCTTGGTCAGTTTGATTTGAAGACGAGTCACTGCTGTTCATAGCTTTCTTAGCTGGTGAATCTGTAACGAAATTGAACAAGATCCACTGTTCAAAAACTGATCTGGGTGTGTTGAGCAGTGTTTCCCAACCCTGTTCCTGGAGGCACATTTTACAACTCTTACTAATCGATCACACCTGAATCAACTCATCAACTCGTTAGTAGAGACTCCAAGACCAGAAATATGGGTCAGAAAAGGGAGATATCCAAAATGTGAACTGTTGGTGTGCCTCAATGAGCAGTGTTGGGAAACACTGGTGTAGTCAGAAACTCACCCGCTGGAGAACCGAGATCTTCCTCATCCAGCGACGGATCCACGGCGGGACGAACACAAGCTTCGGCTGAAACACAGATCAGATCAGATGTTTATTGAATTATCTGCAAGGTTTTGTTTCTCCAGACAGACACATCATCTGCATTTCACCTGTGTTTGTTCGGCCGATCCTGTCCAGGTTTTCCTCCTCACTATTATCCGCCTCTGTGGTTCTCCGATTCCTCATGCTCTCGTTCGTCTGCTCCGCTGATCGTTCGCCTTCCTCACTTCGCCTCTTCTCATGTGTGTGTCCATGTTCTGCTTCATTTTCTGAATCCATATTGTTTCTTTCTGTCACAGCAGATTGTGGACTCACAGTCTCTATGGTTTTAAAATTGAAAATAATAATAATTCTGTCAAACTATTGATTCTTCTGATGCTGAAGTCTGCTTTAAACCCTTAGTTTTTCAGTGGAATACAAACAGAGTATTTCTGAAATCTTCACACAGCTCTGATTTCAACAGTTCATCGTGACCAATAACAAAACTGACAAAAACTCAAGAAAATCACCATGAAAATACCATACAAGTACTCCATACATTTCATGTGTTATATTACGAGTTAGGGCTGGGTAATAAATATATCGATTTCTCGATATTAATCGATTCCCATTTTTACGAACCGATATCGATTCTTAAATCTCAAGAATCGATTAGTCATCCTGTGTCATTTGAATGAACGGATCATTGTATCGCGGCTGCGCACATCCAAAACATCGCAATAATCTTTGTCCTTTGTTATTATTGATATGAAACAAAGTCTCAATTTTCAAATTATGTCCATTTTCTATAGAAATTCAAAAACATAAATAGCGTTTAGGCGCTGTGGCGTGAGATCGCTCTGGAGAAGCAGCAGCGCTGATCTCTCTTCCGGCTTAATAATACCAGCCACAGCGCCAAATAAACATGAATGAGCATCTGAAAGTGTGTTAAAGATAGAGGACAACTTATCGAAATCCGTATCATGTCACATTGATTCGCTCAATCAGCGTTTCAACCGTGGAAAGACGTCAGTTAAACAGCTTAATCAATGTCATGTATCGTCATATTTACCTCAGAAAACCCACATAAACTCGTTAGTCAGCTAGAAAAAAATTAACTCCAGCGATGAGCATTTTGCTAAATATATACACCATATTACATTATCTTAATGTTCTTCAATAAAAGCATATTTGAATAAATCTGGCAAGTTTTTATGACAGCCACCATTAAAATGTTTATATTTCATATAATCTTCTTATTATAAAAATAAACAAAAGTGTAATTTAAGTGTTTGTATAGCTACACAACAGTTAATTATTACCTTCATATTAGGCTAATGAAGTCTATAGGCTACAACTAGACTCCCATAGTTTACAGCATTAGTTAAGAGATTTGATTCCCTTGAGAAAATGGACATTTATTGTAACTGATATCCAAAATAATCGATATTGAATCGAATCGAAATCGAATCAAATTGTGAAATTTGTCTCAATACCCAGCCCTATTATGAGTCTCCTTAAGCTGTATGATAATCTTGTGTGATAAAATGCATATAATTTGAGAGTTGTGTTGGGAAAACTTTCAGTGACTAACACTTTCGTCTGTTTGTTATAAGCTATTACATATAGTTATAGATATCGCACAAGCTACATGAATGAAACTTTTATAAGCTTTCTAATGTAGTTTGTGGAGCTTGAAAGATCTGCGTGAAGATGCTTAAAGTTCTCATTTTGTGTTCGACTGATATCCATCATATTGCTGACATGAGGATGATACAAATGTAATTTATTTTTATTTTTGAGTGATTATCTTCTTAACGGAAAATGACTCTTGAAGCTCCTTCAATGTAAATTTAAATACACTACAAAAGTAATAGTTTGGTATTTTATATCCAGATGGGATGTTTATTTCAGAATCAAGCTCTGTTTCTCCAGACAAACATATAATCAGTATTGTACCTGTGTGTCCTCTGTCTTTGGTCTCTTCTTTCTCTCCTGGCGTCTGATTCTCCTCACGATTATCTTCAGTTTTTCTCTCGTTCTGCTGCTCAGGAAACTCCTCTTCATTTCTGCTCTCCTGTGTCTGCCTGTTCTCCTTTTCCTTTTCTAGTCTCTGTTTATCTCTCTCCTTCTTGGTTTTATCAGTGTTTTCTTCTGCATGTTCGCTGTTCTTCACATTTTTGTCTAGTTCTCCTTCATTTCCACTTTCGGTGTCCTCTTGGTTTGTGTCTGGGCTCTGTTTAAGAGTGTGTGTTTGGACGTCTTGATCTCGTATACTCGACTCACTGTTTAGTGCGCTGTCTGAATCAGTTTGTTTGCAGCTTTGGCTCTCTTGATCTTGATTTTTATCTTCTTTTATCTTTTGGTCACGTTCCTGTTCCTGTCCGGGACGTTTTCCTTCTTCTCCCCGGTCTTGGTCAGTTTGATTTGAAGACGAGTCACTGCTGTTCATAGCTTTCTTAGCTGGTGAATCTGTAACGAAATTGAACAAGATCCACTGTTCAAAAACTGATCTGGGTGTGTTGAGCAGTGTTTCCCAACCCTGTTCCTGGAGGCACATTTTACAACTCTTACTAATCGATCACACCTGAATCAACTCATCAACTCGTTAGTAGAGACTCCAAGACCAGAAATATGGGTCAGAAAAGGGAGATATCCAAAATGTGAACTGTTGGTGTGCCTCAATGAGCAGTGTTGGGAAACACTGGTGTAGTCAGAAACTCACCCGCTGGAGAACCGAGATCTTCCTCATCCAGCGACGGATCCACGGCGGGACGAACACAAGCTTCGGCTGAAACACAGATCAGATCAGATGTTTATTGAATTATCTGCAAGGTTTTGTTTCTCCAGACAGACACATCATCTGCATTTCACCTGTGTTTGTTCGGCCGATCCTGTCCAGGTTTTCCTCCTCACTATTATCCGCCTCTGTGGTTCTCCGATTCCTCATGCTCTCGTTCGTCTGCTCCGCTGATCGTTCGCCTTCCTCACTTCGCCTCTTCTCATGTGTGTGTCGATTTTCTGCTTCATTTTCTGAATCCATATTGTTTCTTTCTGTCACAGCAGATTGTGGACTCACAGTCTCTATGGTTTTAAAATTGAAAAAAAAATGTTTTTAATAATTGTGTCAATCTATTGATTCTTCTAATACTGAGGTCTCCTTTAAACCCTTAGTTTTTCAGTGGAATACAGAGTATTTTTGCTCTGATTTATTTAATAGTTCATCGTGACCAATATCAAAACTCAATAAAATCACCATAAAAGTACTCCATATATTTCATGTGTTATATTACGAGTCTCCTTAAGCTGTATGATAATCTTGTGTGATAAAATGCATATAATTTGAGAGTTTTTTGGGGAAAACTTTCAGTGAAAAACACTTTGGTCTGTTTGTTATAAGCTATTACATAAATAGTTATGGATAGCGCACATACATAAATGAAACTTTTATAAAGCTTTCTAATGTAGTTTGTGGAGCTTGAAAGATCTGCGTGAAGATGCTTAACGTTCTCTTTTTGTGTGTGGCTGATATCCATCATATTGCTGACATGAGGATGATACAAATGTAATTTTATTTTTATTTTTGAGTGATTATCTTCTTAACGGAAAAAGACTCTTCAAGCTCCTTCAAAGTAAATTTAAATACACCACAACAGTACTAAAATTGGTATTTTATATCCGGATGAGATGTTTATTTCAGAATCAAACATATAATCAGTATTGTACCTGTGTGTCCTCTGTCTTTGGTCTCTTCTTTCTCTCCTGGCGTCTGATTCTCCTCTCGATTATCTTCAGTTTTTCTCTCGTTCTGCTGCTCAGGAAACTTTTCTTCATTTCTGCTCTCCTGTGTCTGCCTGTTCTCCTTCTCCTCTTCTAGTCTCTGTTTATCTCTCTCCTTCTCGGTTTCATCAGTGTTTTCTTCTGCTTCAACTGCATGTTCGCTGTTCTTCACATTTTTGTCTAGTTCTCCTTTACTTCCACTTTCGGTGTCTTGTTGGTTTGTGTCTGACACAGCAGATTGTGGGCTCTGTTTAAGAGTTTCCTTCAAAGGTTTGTGTCCTTCATTAGTTCCACCTGAACCCTCTTCTTCATTGGCTTGATCCCATTTTTGATCAATAATAGACTTATTTTGAGGGGGAAGTCTGGCGTGACTAGGGAGTGTGGCTTCAGACGAACTTGAACCTGAAGCATTCAAAGACATTAACAGCAGATTCAAGAGTCATTCATTCATTCAGAGTGAGTCTATAGTGCTGTCCAGCGACATGAGCGATGGCCACCACCGCAATATCATGTCATGTCAGTGATAATAATAGTAAATCATTGGGAAGCGGTACCTGGCATAACGTCCTTTTGGTAATTTCTCATCAGGCTATGGCCTTCACCTACATTGATAGAAAACATTTTTATTATACAAAAAGTCTGCTTGATTGTGGCAAAAAATCATAATCACAATTATTTTGGTCAATATTGTAATCACAATTTAACACGATTATAAGTGGGCCATATGAACAAACCTAATTAATTTAATGATAGCAATATATATATATATATTAGGGCTGTGCAAAAATTAATTGTGATTAATCGCATCCAAAATAAAAGTCTGTGTTTACATAATATATTTGTGCTGTATATAATTATTTTGTAAATATAAATACCTATGCATCCATGTATATATTTAATAATTATTTGCGCTTAAATTCTGTATATATATATATATAAATACATAATCTATATTATATGAATAACACATTTTCTTAAATATATACATGCATGTGTGTGTATTTATATATACAAAATAATTATATACAGCACACACAAATATATTATGTAAACCCAGACTTTTATTTTGGATGCGATTAATCGTTATAATCGTCTATGTTATAAAAATGTTAGCGAAATTTCACAATACCAATTTCAATACCACGAGAATTTTAGGCTAAAAATCATGCAAGTCTATAACTACTCAGCCAACAGCCTAATATAGAAATTGAATGATCAAATGTAAATTATAACACAGCATAGCCTTCACTGTAAGAATTTAACTGGCTTTGATTATTATTTAAGAAACACAAGTCCTTCAGAGATTTTCTATTTGTCTTTTGTTTGATAACCATTAAGGACACATAAAGCAATAGATTTATTAGGCTGATGTCACTTTAAAGACCGAATGCACAGATCCAGTACACCGATTTACATTACATTTTCTCCAAATTGTTTATGTTTAGTAACTGAACCGACTGTTTACCCGTTAAGTCTGGCATTTTGACGGTTGTTGACTTTGTCCGTGTTTTGCTCCGTTTCGGAGCGCGTGCACTGAACATTTTCTTTCACGCTTTTGATAACTTTTTTTTAATTCTGCATGATTTGACTCATTTGCACATTAAGTTTGAACTGTTAAGGAGGAACGAAAGCGCACCGCTGGAAAGGAATGAGGCAAAATAATAGTTTTATCTCGATTATTGAATTTTCATAATTGTTGAAAGCCAAAATCGAAATTCAATTGCGATTAATCGCACAACCCGAGCTCATGCTATATTAACTCTCTATTCGAGTGAATTGACTGCAGTGTTTATAAATAACATGAACAATAGAGCTATAGAGATCCTGAAGACCTTGATGAACTCTGCAGGACTGAACTAGCCTACCCCTGATTTAGTCAAACCCATGCTTAGAGTTTCAGATCTTTGTCCCAATGGTTTAACTATCTTCCATAAACTTTAATCGCAGCCTTATAGGGCATGTTTGAGATTTTTTGTTAATGACTGACTCTTTTGTAAATTAAATAATTTTCTTTATTCTTTTAAGTCAAACTGGATGTTCAAAGGAAAAAATATCAATAATTTTCAAGGAAGATAATCAATTATTTTTTATTCCAGCACTTTCCCAAACAAACTCTGACCTTACCATTTTCAGGGTCGATTTTCTTCAAGCCAGACTGTCTAGCTGCTCATCCATGTACAAGAAAAAACAGAAAATTGTGTTAATCTTTGTAATATAAAGAAAGTATTTTTAGGGTGAAGTGTTGAATACTTTTTCATGGCACTTACATTTTTCTTTACGTCTGTATAAGAATACTCCCAGTAGAATAAGCAGGATGAGGAGAGGTATTATTATGACTGGAACCAGCACAGCAGTCCCTGCTCGGCCTGCACACATAAGACAGGGTTAACGTAAAGCATCTACGTCAGAGTCTCAAGGCATCTAAACAGTGGTGTTGAGTCTAGCACACCTGTGTGGCAGTCTGTCAGAGTAAAATTTGTGCTCCTGCTGTTAGCTTGATTCTTCACAGTGCAGGTATAGACCGAGTCGCGGTTTTCCTCCTGTTCTTCAACAAGAAGCTCTGGTCCCGAGTGAAGCTTCATATTCAGTCCGCTCCATTCATAGCTCGGCTGAGTTCGGGATTCCACCGAACAAAACAGCTTTTTAACATCTGAAGTCTCACCCGGTTCACAGGTCACCTGAGGCTCTGGCAGAACATCTAAGACCCAAAAGCAGAGAGCCATTCGTGATCATCAGTGGATATTTGGTCATTTTGAGATTACTATTCAATAACTAAAACTGTTTCAGCTAATAATCAAGGTTATTGATTCCTTGTTACTGTCACTTTCTCTGTTTTAAATATTTTAGTATATTTATGGGCAAATATTGTATTATTTATAAATCATCAAGCCATGTGTAACCATGAGTCAAACTAACACCACAGATGGATAATTACTCTTTTGGCAGATCAATTCCCTGGTTTCTGTATCCGGTTTCATTCAATTTCAAGTTTTTCATTTCCCACGTATGTTTGATTCTGTCTATGTGTTTGTTTAGATGAGTTATTATTGATTTAGTTAAAGGTGGAGTAACACTGGGTAACGCGGGGCAACGCTGAATAACACTGAGCAACCCTGATTAACGCGGAGTAACGCTGAGTAACGCGGAGTAACGCTGAGTAACACGGAGTAACACTGAGCAACCCTGATTAACGCTGAATAACGCTGAGTAACACTGAATAACGCTGGTAACGCTGAGTAACGCTGGGTAACACTGAATAACGCTGGGTAACGCTGAGTAACGCTGGGTAACACTGAGTAACGCTGGGTAACACTGAATAACGCTGGGTAACGCTGAGTAACGCTGGGTAACGCTGAGTAACGCTGAGTAACGCTGAGTAACGCTGGGTAACACTGAATAACGCTGGGTAACGCTGAGCAACCCTGATTAACGCTGAATAACGCTGAGTAACACTGAATAACGCTGGGTAACGCTGAGTAACGCTGAGTAACACTGAATAACGCTGGGTAACGCTGAGTAACGCTGGGTAACACTGAATAACGCTGGGTAACGCTGAGTAACGCTGGGTAACGTTGAGTAATGCTGGGTAACGCTGGGTAACGCTGAGTAACGCTGAGTAACACTGAGTAACGCTGGGTAACGCTGGGTAACGCTGAGTAACGCTGAGTAACACTGAGTAACGCTGGGTAACGCTGGGTAACACTGAGTAACGCTGAATAACGCTGGGTAACGCTGAGTAACGCTGAGTAACGCTGAGTAACGCTGGGTAACGCTGAGTAACACTGAGTAACGCTGGGTAACGCTGGGTAACGCTGAGTAACGCTGAGTAACACTGAGTAACGCTGAATAACGCTGGGTAACGCTGAGTAACGCTGAGTAACACTGAGTAACGCTGGGTAACGCTGAGTAACACTGAGTAACGCTGGGTAACGCTGGGTAACGTTGAGTAACGCTGGGTAACGTTGAGTAACGCTGAGTAACGCTGAGTAACGCTGGTAACGCTGGGTAACGCTGAGTAACGCTGAGTAACACGGAGTAACACTGAGCAACCCTGATTAACGCTGAATAACGCTGGGTAACGCTGGGTAACGCTGAGTAACACTGAGTAACGCTGGGTAACGCTGGGTAACGCTGAGTAACGCTGAGTAACACTGAGTAACGCTGAATAACGCTGGTAACGCTGAGTAACGCTGAGTAACACTGAGTAACGCTGGGTAACGCTGAGTAACACTGAGTAACGCTGGGTAACGCTGGGTAACGTTGAGTAACGCTGGGTAACGTTGAGTAACGCTGAGTAACGCTGAGTAACGCTGGGTAACGCTGGGTAACGCTGAGTAACGCTGAGTAACACGGAGTAACACTGAGCAACCCTGATTAACGCTGAATAACGCTGGGTAACGCTGGGTAACGCTGAGTAACGCTGAGTAACACTGAATAACGCTGAGTAACACTGAGTAACGCTGGGTAACACTGGGTAACGCTGAGTAACGCTGAGTAACACTGAATAACGCTGAGTAACACTGAGTAACGCTGGGTAACGCTGGGTAACGCTGAGTAACGCTGAGTAACACTGAATAACGCTGAGTAACACTGAATAACGCTGAGTAACACTGAGTAACGCTGGGTAACGCTGAGTAACGCTGAATAACGCTGAGTAACACTGAGTAACGCTGGGTAACGCTGAGTAACGCTGAGTAACGCTGGGTAACGCTGGGTAACGCTGAGTAACGCTGGGTAACGCTGAGTAACGCTGGGTAACGCTGGGTAACGCTGAGTAACGCTGAGTAACACTGAGTAACGCTGAATAACGCTGGGTAACGCTGAGTAACGCTGAGTAACACTGAGTAACGCTGGGTAACGCTGGGTAACGCTGGGTAACACTGGGTAACGCTGAGTAACGCTGAGTAACACTGAATAACGCTGAGTAACACTGAGTAACGCTGGGTAACGCTGGGTAACGCTGAGTAACGCTGAGTAACACTGAATAACGCTGAGTAACACTGAATAACGCTGAGTAACACTGAGTAACGCTGGGTAACGCTGAGTAACGCTGAATAACGCTGAGTAACACTGAGTAACGCTGGGTAACGCTGAGTAACGCTGAGTAACGCTGGTAACGCTGGGTAACGCTGAGTAACGCTGGGTAACGCTGAGTAACACTGAGTAACGCTGGGTAACGCTGGGTAACGCTGAGTAACGCTGAGTAACACTGAGTAACGCTGAATAACGCTGGGTAACGCTGAGTAACGCTGAATAACGCTGGGTAACGCTGAGTAACGCTGAGTAACACTGAGTAACGCTGGGTAACGCTGGGTAACGTTGAGTAACGCTGGGTAACGTTGAGTAACGCTGAGTAACGCTGGGTAACGCTGGGTAACGCTGAGTAACGCTGAGTAACACGGAGTAACACTGAGCAACCCTGATTAACGCTGAATAACGCTGGGTAACGCTGGGTAACGCTGAGTAACACTGAATAACGCTGAGTAACACTGAGTAACGCTGGGTAACGCTGAGTAACGCTGAGTAACGCTGAGTAACGCTGGGTAACGCTGGGTAACGCTGGGTAACGCTGAGTAACGCTGAATAACGCTGAGTAACGCTGAGTAACGCTGGGTAACGCTGAGTAACGCTGAGTAACGCTGGGTAACGCTGGGTAACGCTGGGTAACGCTGAGTAACGCTGAATAACGCTGAGTAACGCTGAGTAACGCTGGGTAACGCTGGGTAACGCTGAGTAACGCTGAATAACGCTGAGTAACGCTGAGTAACGCTGGGTAACGCTGAGTAACGCTGAGTAACGCTGAGCAACGCTAAGAAACGCCTTGTAGTTACTCAGCAAATTTGAGTATTTTTAATAGATAGATAGATAGATAGATAGATGATAGATACATAGATAGATAGATAGATAGATAGATAGATAGATAGATAGATAGATAGATAGATAGATAGATAGATAGATAGATAGATAGATAGATAGATAGATTACCCAAAACTGTCACAGTATGACTGGAGGTCTGAACTTTCCCATTGATCATAATTTGAGATTGATATTGTCCACTGTCTTGGCTGGTTAGTTTTTTGATAGTGAGCTGTCCTGTTTCGAAATCAACAACCACACGGTGCTTGAACGAGGCGTACTCCACCACCTCCCTCCCGTCATACACCAGAACCTTGTCCTCATTGTGTGTCCACTGTATATCTGTAGGCTTTCCACGGATGCTTGGAGTTAGTGTGATGTCTTTTCCAATTTCTTTATACTCATCACAGAAAACAAAATCTACAGGAGAAGAAAAAGACACTTAGTGAAGGTTCTTTGGTTCTATGGGTGAATAAACCTAAAAAAATAAACCTCATATTTTACAATAAAATCAACGAACAAATACAGGACTTAATATTTTGCTATGATACAATTATGCATTTTTTATTATTTGCACTGTACAATATTTTCATTTTTACATTTTAATAAATGTTTAAATGCATCAACAATTTTCAAGATATTCCCCCAACATTCGCATTGCCATAATGTGTCTACGTGTTTCAATATTTAATGACAGATTGTTATTACAGTAATCAAATATAATGTAGAACATTTGTATATTTTAAATAAACAAAAACAATATACTTATATTATACAATTACACATATAAACTACATTCAACTATAGAGCCTAAGATTTAATTGTCTTTATGCAAAATACAATGACTTTGATTTTGAGATGAATATCTTGTTCTGGGTGTTTCATTAAATCAAGTTACCAGCAATTTGTTGGCTCAAAAACAACAACATTGAAGACAAGCAACAAATCACATTTTGGTAGAAATCTCAAGCTTAATCGTATAAAATAAAGGTTTTGTGTTTCAGTTCAAGATCACAGAACAGATTCGGTACAAAGTTCAGTGACAGTCCTGCATTCACCAAAGGTGAGATTCACCAAAGTTTACACACGTTCGACTTTTAATGTTTTTAGACTTAAATATTACTAAATGTTACTGTATCTAAAATAGTTCCTAACCCGTCCCAGAACTCTTTAAAGAAGCATTTCCGCGAATGTCTGTTGTGTCTCGACTCGCCCAGAGTTCCCGCACAGGTCACCTGGATTACAGGGGAATCTGTTTTACTTCATCTCCATGTTGAAAAAGCTTTGGACTTAACGTTACCTCGAGCCAAACAGAGACATGTAATGAAGACCAGACTCGTAGCTGCCATCTTCTTCCTCGGGTATCGAGAGTGCGTTTCGTTTTAGTTTTAACCCCGTGCGCGCGCCTGTGTGGGGGCCATTAATGAAGACTGCATAAATCTCGATAGACGCTAACAAGGCAACACAAATAAACCATTAAAAAACATCGTTTGATGCAGTGAATGAAGGAAGAAGAAAAATCCGATTAAAGGTATCGAGTGACCTGCTGAAACTGGGAGGAGACCGAAGGTAAACGCACCTTTAGATGACGCACTGAGTAACCGGGGTGTAAACGACAACCTGTTACAGCATAATGGTCTCTTTCATGATGATTTTAACACTAAAAGCGAACACTGGATTATGGATTGCCGGACAATTTTCCCCCCCAGAATTTGTCAGAATGAAAGCCTGCTGTTTGTTGATCAACTTAAACATTTTACTGTTGGGTTTTAACCCAGTGAACTATAATAATTACCCGATTTATGCTTATTTCAATGTAGTAAGCGCGGCCATTTTAAACTGGAATGTGGGAATGTGTTGTATTATCTGTGCAAACACAGTACTGTTGTTGGATGTTGTAAACTGCCATTTGTTTTCCAATATTTTAGTTTATTAAAGTAAACAGTTCTCTTTGCAAGAAACTGCATGTAAAACTGAAACTACAGGGAAGCGCCTGTACTCCACATGTCCTCCAGGGGGCAGCACTGCACTGAGGGAGCGACAGCACGCGTTTGAGAGAACCTGGCCATAAAATAAATTGCAAAGTAAAAGTGACTTTTTAACCCATAAGAACCCCGACCAATTTCCCCTTATAGGAAAATTATGGGACATATAAAACAGACTAAATGGACCACTTAAAACATGTTTTTAAATACCACCGCTCCTTGTCAAAGATCTGTAATGTGTCATATATGTCACATTGGGCGTTTATGATAATTTTTTTTTATGTGACATATATGTCACATTGGGCTTTTATGTCTCATTTGGAAAAAAATAAAAATAAATTTTGTCAGTTTTCTTGCTTAATAACATTTTTTTGTTATTTTCTTTTCCACAACATTTTCAAAATTATAACTTTTCTGGGAAGATTAAAAAAAAAAAACTTTTTCATAAGTAATAGTTTTTGCGTTTTATTTGCTTTGCCACATATTTCAAAACCACACAACTGTGACCTTTTCAGGTATACAGTTTAATCAGAAATCTTTTTTTTTTCACTACTCGAAAATGTGCAAACTGAATACAAATAAATAACTACCTCACACTGGAGGCCAACATGTTGAACATGCATGTAGTGCAATAACATTGCAAAATTCTACCTTTTGACGTATACGGTTTAACCAGAAATACATTTTTTGATTATTTTTTTACATCTCGAAATTAATAAAATAAATATGCTGTTTTATACCATATGTTGCATACCTGTTTTATTTACAATATTTCATTAAAGGGTAAACCCTAAACCAACTTTTCTTAGTTAATGATCTGTAAGACTGGGGCTTTATTATTGCTGTTCATTGAATTTTTAGGACATTTGGGTTTAAAGTGTTTTAATTCTACAATATATGGTGTAAAAACATCAGGTTGAACGGTGGCTACTGCAGTCGAATTTTCCTATTGGAAGTTGTGGTGCCCTGTGATGTAAGCAGGCACAAGCTAACCACGCCCCTGCCTACAGAGAGATGTGTTTCAGGTGCACGCCCCCCCTCCGCTGGCCTCCGCCCACTTTTCCAGCATTTTTCAAATATTTCCAGTGGGTGGAGTCAGGATTAGTTACCCTTTAACAATGTTATATATTTGACTTTTTTTTTTGTTACATATGTTAAAATATGTTTTGAATTGAGCAGCAAAATATATATAACACTAAAATAATTAAATCAGCTAAATTATTTGAGCAATTATTATTTACCATTTTTCCTAATGTGACACATACGTCACATCAAAATTCCACCTGCTGTTTTAAGGTTAGAAGCCAGATGTGACGGCAAAAAAAAAACAACAAAAAAAACTTGTTTTATGCCAATTTCTACAAGACATGTTTTAAAATCAGGTCAAGTGTAATCTAGGATATGTTATTAAAACATTAATATTGTTGCATGGGTTGAAAAACAGACCTTTAATAACAAAAACAAGTGTTTTTAAAAAATTGCTGACACTGCAACATGTGCACACCATTTCGGAAATGTTACCATGGCAACAAAAATGCACACATTGTCACATGACTGAACCTGGGTGTCCTTAAATGTCCCTTAGGGACTTCTTGCTTTAGACATCATTGCACATTAATTGCATTCATATTCAGTGTTTTTAAAAACGTTTCAAATAGCCTTCATGAAACTCTCTGGTAACGCTTTAGATCACTGTGTAATCAAGAGGAATTTACAGAGTAACTTTCGGTAATTATAGTGTACCGATAACGCACTTTCATGTAAGTATAACAGAACAATATGTAAAGTTTGGGGAATAAAGGGGAAACAACAAGATATGTACCATGTAATTTTATAAAAGCCTATACAGTATGTACTGGTTCACCATTATTTCAAAAAGGTACACAGTGAATGTTCTCGCTAAAATGCTCCCAAATGTGAGATTGTTGTATAATAATAGTAGAATAAGTACCCCTTAGTTATATAATACTTACAGTATAAATATTGTTTTAATTCTCCTGGTTGTTACACCTTTATTCCCCAAACTTTACATATTGTTTCCTTATACTTGTATTGTAAGTATGTTATAAGTACACTTACAGAAAGTTACACTGTAAAACTGTTTTAATTGCAGTTCTGGGCCGTAATCTACACTGATAAAAATGATTTTGTGGTGAAGTAAATACTACAGAAAAAAACAATTTAATTTACATGAAAAAGGTTAGTTCAGGCAAGAATTTAAAAAAATAAGTAAATTCTATAGTAGAACTCAATTAAATCGAGTAGAAATGAAAGCGTAAATATCAACATTATAAAATTAAGTAAAATTACTCAACTTTTCTGATACTGGTGTTCCCATCATGCACTGGGCCATGAATAATTAATGAGGTTGATTTTTCACTGTTTTCCAGCTGTATTTACACTATTTTATCATTACTTTTGTTGTCAGGATTAGTAATTTGCCATTTTGTGACATTTGGAGTTCATTTTCTACTTAAAATGACACATTCAAACACAAAAACGATCTATCAAATGTTACCGTCGTTGTGTATTGTTTACCAAGTATTGAGGTCTGCATTCACACATGCTATATCAAAAGTGAAAACAAGATGAGACACACTGCAAGTAATGTTTACTCAAACAGTGTCGTCTAATTCAATGTTATATTGTATGAGTGAAATGTTGTATTAAGAAAAATTCAATTAAAAAGAATAGATATTACTATTACTTAATAGATATTACTTAATTTCTTATGTTACTTTCACTTAACTTAGTTCAGTATAGTTTACTTAATTATATGTGTGAAATTTACTCAAAAAGTATCAGTGCAAAAACTTGCCTTGAAAAAATTAAGTACATTTTACTTATTGTTTTTTACAGTGTAAAGCACACACACAAAATGTTGTGTTTTCATGTTTTATGGGGGCTCTGCATAGACGTAATGTTTTTATACTGTACAAACTGTATATATTCTCTCCCCTAAACACATCACACAAAACTCTCTGCATGTTTTAAATTGTAAAAAACTTTATTTAATATGATTTATTATAAAAAAAAGTTTTACTCGCATATGGGACAAAAAAAAGTCCCCACAAAGTCAAAAATATCTAATTTGGTTCTGTAACCTATAGACCATTTCACAAGATATAAACAACACTGGTCCAGAAGCACTTCCTGTTTCAGTTTGTAACTGTTTTCTTTATTTCACATGTAAAGAAAACATCTTAAAGACGTTTGTTTAACTTTTTGATTCAGTTTTAAATGTTCTGTTGGTTATATTTTATCCCATCTTTTATGTAGTGTTAAAAAACTGAAACAGGAAGTGCTTCTGGACCAGTGTTGTTTACATCTTGTGAAATGGTCTATATAGGCTATTAGGCACACACACACACACACACACACACATATATATGAAGAGTTCAGATGCAAAAGCCTCTAAATGCCATTTGACATTTTCTTCTTTAATGATGATTTTTATCAAACTTGTATATTTAAGTTCAGTAATTTCACTTAAATGGCAATGATAATTACCTATTAATTGTTATTTAAGTGAAATTACTGAACTTAAATATACAAGTTTGATAAAAATCATCATTAAAGAAGAAAATTTCAAATGGCATTTAGAGGCTTTTGCATCTGAACTCTTCATATATATATTTGGTTACGAAGCATAAAAAATATTGAACTCATTCTTTACATTTGATTTGATTAAAAGGTAATAATGCGTAAATCATAGTGACAATGAATGAAGAAGTCACTATTTGTATATAGACCATCAATATAACAATGCAGACTACAATATATAAACAATGATTTTTCTATAGTTTTATTCTCAACATACACAATAATCTCATTGCAATGTCTGAATATTGAAAAAACTGAAATACAGCGTGACTCACACACACTCCCAGACACACACTTACAGGAAACTAAACCTCTGAGAGCTTGACATCTTACAACAAAACGTCTCACACACCCGCGCCGCAATGATGATAAACTTCACATTAATTCTCCTCTTCTATTTAATCATCATCTTCTCCTCTGGTAAGTTGTTGTTCAATGATACATTCTGTAATTTTGTTGATTATAGACAAATGTTCTTTTTATCGAATTATTTGTTCACCAAATGGTTTTTGGTTTTAGATTTAATTTATCAGTCCTTAAAGTTCTTGAACAGAAACCCAGTTTTATTTTCTGCTTTTTACAGATACTTTTTATACAAATTATATTACTTCTAATCACATTTCATGGCATTGCATATGGTTTCATTTGAATAATTAATTCACCCAGTCATGTGTTTCCCATGTAAAAGTGTTTTAAGATCTCAGTCTTTGTCATATAAAGTCATGTCAGCAACAGTGAAAGGTCATGTGTGTTTGATCCGCAACACGACAGAACATTCTCACACTTTTTGCACCTCTTTATTTTTTAGGTCAATTTGTATCCTCCTCATGTGTGTACAAAACAGTGGGCGAAAGAGTTGAAATCTCTCTGGATATTGGAGAATTACCAGAGAAAGGCGAACTGACTTGGACACATAATCAATACAAGGTATATAATAAAAGGGGCTCAAGTGTTAAGACAAGCAAATTGGATGTTGACCGCTATGGATCCTTGATCCTGGAGAACGTACAGAAAAAGCATTCTGGGGTGTACGAAGGCCTAGTCTACGACCAAAACGGAAAGTTAATAAAGAGAAGCACACACCAGCTCTGTGTACAAGGTACGAACTATCTTGAGGTCTGCCGCCATTCAAACCTGCATTAAAGTTCAATGTTATTTCACTCCTCTCTGTTTACAAAGCAAGACCAAGTGTGTGTCAGCATTGAGCCTTGCTGTTGTGTGTGTGTTTCAGAGCCAGTGCATGAACCTACAGTCATGGTCGAGTATTCAACAATTGCCAATGAAGAAACGAACAGCACAAAAGAAAAGAACAGCAACAATGAAAATAGAAATAAGAGTAATTGTCTATTTTTGTGACTATTTTTGAATTTTGTCACTAAACATATTACAGTACTTTGGAATACTTGACTCTTGATTATTCAATCGCAAAATTCTGTGAATAAAATTTTTTTGTATAATGATGCTAAACTGTACGGAGGCGTATTGCATTCACTTGAAGAAAAAAACATGTAATCTGTTTTTTTGAATTAACGAGTTAATTTTTCATGAGAAAAACATTTTTTTGCTCTGTTTTTCTGAATTAATGAGTTAATTTTTCATGAGAAAAAAAATTTTTGCTCTGTTTTTCTGAATTAATGAGTTAATTTTTCATGAGAAAAAAATTTTTGCTCTGTTTTTCTGAATTAATGAGTTAATTTTTCATGAGAAAAAAATTTTTGCTCTGTTTTTCTGAATTAACGAGTTAATTTTTCATGAGAAAAAAATGTTTGCTCTGTTTTTCTGAATTAATGAGTTAAATTTTTATGAGAAAAAATTTTGCTCTGTTTTTCTGAATTAACGAGTTAATTTTTCATGAGAAAATTTATTTTTGCTGTTTTTTCTAAATTAACTCATTCATTCAGAAAAACAGAGCAAAAAAAAAAATCCATTAAAAATTAACTCATTAATTCAGAAAAACAGAGAAAAAAAAATTTCTCATGAAAAATTAACTCGTTAATTCAGAAAAAAAGAGCACAAATTTTTTTCTCATGAAAAATTAACTCATTAATTCAGAAAAACAGAGCAATTTTTTTCTCATGAAAAATTAACTCGTTAATTCAGAAAAACAGAGTAGATTTTTTTTCTTCAAGTGAATGCAATACGCCTCCGTAAAACTGTAATTGACCATTGATTTCACATGTCGTTTTGCTAGTTGTATGTGTCTCAAATCACAGTGTCATTCTCACATATTAAATTCATATCAAATTATAAATAGTGGTTTTGATCCTGTATTAGAGGTGTCCGAGAAGAAGAAGTTGCTGTTTGGCCTGGACTTCCGGTGGATGCTGGTGATCCTGACGGGAGGAGCGAGTTCCCTGCTGGTTCTCTTCATCATCTGTCTCGTCTGTGTCTGTCGCTGCCACGCACGCAACAAGAGGAAGGCCACAAGTAAGCGTTGGCGTGCTTTCAGTCTGTGTTTTGATGTTTTTTGCTCAGTTTCTTTCCTCTTGTCTGTTAAATAGGTCAGTTCGACATTCTGTCCCTGTTTGTCACTATGATTAATAACTGATTGATTTGAGTTTAGGAGTATCTTGTCTATTATGTTTGCAAATTTAGGGTATATTTAAAAGACAACGATATGCTTGAAATTGTTAAGTTTTTTTCTTTGAGTTTTCCACGTAGAGACGGCACCATTGTCAAAGTGATCCCCATTCACATGGATCCACAAAAACGTCTCTGGTTACGTACGTAACCCTAGTTCCCTGAAGGGAACGAGGCGCTGCGTGAAAACACTGTGGGAACGCCCCTGCGTTGTGCGTCATGAATCACGTATGGAATTAGTCCAATGGCGAGTGACGTCGTCGACCAGGAAACTATAGACCCCTTTTCAGTTGGTAAACATGGTGACGTTTTCATGTGGGCGGAGCTTAGGTGGAGCCAGAACGATCGCTCTGGCCGCTTCACTAACGCTAGTTAGCAAGGATTGTTAGCTTGTTTTTTAACAATGACTGGAGAAAATCCGATATTATCTTAATGTGTAAGGTCACTCAGTGTCCAGGACCGCGATTGTTATTTCCAAAAGTTATCTTTAACGGACAGAACCAGATTGGCCGACCCGTAGCCGCCTACACGCTCACTCAATGCATGGACGATCTGACAGCCCAGCAAACAAATTTAGGTTCTGGGAACGTTAGTTTTTGGTTCCCAGAACGTTCCTAGAACTTTCCCTTAAGGTTAAGGGAACGTTCCCGGAACATTCTCCCTACGTTATAAAAATGGAACCTAAAAATAACCTACATGGAACGTTCCTATAACGTTCTTGTTTGGTTCCCAAAAAAATAACCTCATGGGACCATTCGGGAACGTTAGGGGAACGTTCTGTGTTTGCTGGGAGGATTAACGTACGTTACCTCGGTTGAGTGGCCTGACTTCTACACCTACCTTAGAGAAACCGATCGTAAAGAGAAACTGAGGGCATATAAATCTTTAGATGCCTATATGGTCCTGTACAAGACGAATGTGTACGATCCACAGTTCTGCCGAGCCAGCGCCGAGACCACGACAATGTAAAGAGTGTCATTACGGTGCGATTTTAATCATGTGAATATTTTCTAGAAATAAAAATTCCAGATACAGCATATTCATTTTTCATCAATTCTTGCACCAAACAACACAACAAGATGACATTTAATAATAATAAAAGTAAGTAATAAACAAAAGTGATAAAAGCGAGCAGGGAAGAACACACTCCTTAAATGCTGTTCGCTTGCCATAGTCTCTCATACAAAATTGTTTGTGTGGTGTAAAATGTGATAACTTCTGCCTAGCAAATACTAAGGACAGACACAGTGTTTACACTCAGATTCACATATAGCGCGACTGAAGGCACAGAACTGTTGCGCTTGTGTTTTCGGGGTGCTTTATAGTTTCCTGGTCGACGACGTCACCCGCCTATGTCGTCTCTCCATTGGATTGATCCCATACGTGCTTCATGACGCACAACGCAAGGGCGTTCCCACAACGTTTTCACGCAGTTCGAACAAATAAAAACACTGTATTCTGCTTCCAGGCCAGTAGATGGCGATGTAACAAAATAGACTGAACACGTAATAGGCATCTGCATGACATCATCTTCTTCAGAGATTTGTGTTTTTATTGTTTACACGACGCAAAACACAAAAACTTGCACTTTGAAACCCATTTTCAAAAGTTTGCATCTTCAAGCAACCAAAACGGCGCTGTCGTGTAAATTTAATAAAAAGTTTTACGTTTTTAGTTGAAAGCTGTGTCGTGTTAACAGCCACCTCTGTTTCAGTCAGTCCGTTGTCTAGCATTATTTCAGTTCTCTTTCTTGTTCAAGTATTGGATTAAAGTGTCCTTTAGTATCTCCTTCGTCGTGCGCTTGATTACAGCCACCATATCAGTGACACATCTGTCACATTCTGTATTCACTAGGGCCGGGACTCGATTGAAAAAATTAATCTAATTAATTAGAGGCTTTGTAATTAATTAATCACATTTTAATTGCATAAATATTTGAACTGAGAACAGTGAGAAGATTTTTTTCACATGGATTTTTAGTATACCATTGAATAATGACTGAATACATAAGCTTAAGCAACAAAATATTGTTTATTTTTGTTCAACCAAGAAGCAATTGTAGCATATGTTTTGCGTTGAGGTGAATCTTGAGGGTCGATGTGATATGCGCAATTCCTTGTTATAGCTTGCACACACAACCATGCTCTTAATGACGCTTCCATCGGTTCGTTTTTATAGCAAAATTTCTTATCCACGGGGCCAACGAACCAAAGCGGTCTCGTCAGCTTTTTCGTTCATGTTCACTGCGGTTTGTTGTTTAGTTGTCTGACTGTAAAAAAAGTCATGAACGCTAGTTGGTGCTCCAGTATTATCGGTCCACCGAAACTAATCCAGTGAGAAATGTTCCGCGGTGCAAAAATAAGTGCGATTAAAATGCCTTCATTTTTTGTGTAAATAATTAATGCGTTAAAGTCTGTAATTAATTAATCTTAATTAACCTGTCCCGGGAAATTTAAGAAGTCTCCCGGGACACTGAATGTCCCGGTTTTTCGAAAGGCTGCGTGAATACGTATGTTCAAAACTTTGTAGTTCGTGGCCGCGTGCACCGGCTCTCCCTATGAGCTAACTAAGTGGCTGCTTAGGTCCCCGCCGCCGCTAGGGGGCCCCCTAACTACAGATGGTAGTCGCCACTCAAAGTGTGGGGAAAAGTTCATCCCGTTGGCGCGCCCCACCTGTCACGTCTCTATTTCCCACCCGAGGGGCGCGCCAACGGGAGGAACTTTTCCATGTCTTTATATCTTTATTCGTTCATGGCGAGTCCGCATCGCATCTTCATCTTTGCAGCGACGCAGAAAACACCAGTTTATTAACAAACAATTAAATGCCTCCTTGCTATTTTTTACACATTCACGTTTGCCGGCTCGTGCGCCTGAGTGCGGCTTTATCATTATCCTGTATAGCCTATTTAAGTTGTTAAATCAATATAAAGGGGCGATTTGTCCACTAATGGCTTAAATAAGCAACTGATAGTGGACTAGAAAAAACCTTTAGTCGGAAGCAGGGTTGAGCGCGCGACCCTGAGCGGAATCCTGTATCCCAGGAGTGTTAAATTAACACTGACTGAGTTTTTGCTGTGACAAAGAGCCGTAGTTAGCTGACAAGCTGAGCCATAGTGCATTAAAAATCAGGTGATATCACTAAGCATTCAATTACATGAAAACCATTACCATTAATAAGTGATCAGATCTTCTGAACTGAGATTCCCTTGGATTCCTACCATAACAAATATGTATCAATTATGACACTCAGTTAAAGCAGCCAGAGAAATAGTAATGTTAAAAGCAAAAGGTCAAGAGCCCCACTAAAGCAAACACTGATCTCCATCATGGTGACATCAACATTTATTATTTTACATAAAAAAATCTACTTCTAAACATCTGTCTCAGTAAGAATGTTAGCATGCAATAAATAAAGTCTGGATTGTTTCTGTATGGTGTGTTTTGTGGGTCACCGTTGTGTTGAAGAGTAGAGCCTGTGCTTCAGTTCAGGATGAGCCGAATAAAACTGATGAAATGGTGCATGTTCCTTTATTTAACGGACAGTAACTGTGTAGTTGCTGATGCAGTGATGTATAGTGACAGCAAATCATACATCACCTACATGTTTCTTAATAAAAAATTCAGGAAATATGTGTAATAACTGTGTTTCTGTTAAAGAGCTTAATGAAGATTTCTACTTTTGCACTTATTTAAATTAGGCTATTTTACACTCATTTTATGTTTTTTGTATGGCAGCCATTACTGACAGTCATTGACTGTTTTTTACTATGAAGGTATTTGATCATAATAATGCATTGTTTTTACAGTTAGAGTGTTTGATCGTAATAATCCAGATAATAGCTGTAATATAACAGTGTTTTTCTGTAAAACAACTTAATTTAAATTAGGATATTTTACTTTATTTTTACGGTATTTATTTGGCACCCTTTGCTGCCAGTCATTTGACCCTTTTTTTACGATTTTATTTTTTACAGTGTACTTGTTACTTCAATAAATTTGAACATTTTAAGCTTTAGCGTTGTGTTGGGTCGAGGGGGGTAGTGGGGCTTGAACAGACCAGAACAGCTGAAAACACCCATTTGCAGGTCTGATTGAGGGTGTATAATAATGGGGTGTGTTTCACAACCACACAAAAAAAGTATAGATGAAGCAGGGAAAACTAATATCAAATATCTGAATATTCTCAAACCAACCAGTCGTTTCACGTTCTGCTGTGTCTGTCTGTCTCCGCAGAGGAAGCTGAGTTTCGACTCGTCACTCTAATGCCGGACTACACTGATCAGCCTGATGTTCAGTACATGCAGAAAACTGAGTCCAGCAGGCCGTCCAAAAGCGTGCGTCCTCTTCCACCCCTGCCCAGCTCTCGAGGTCCTCCTCCTCTTCAACCCCAATGAGAGAAACACTCGGCCTTCCCGAGACTCTGAGACCAACACAACCAATTAAAGGAAAAAAAAACACACTTCTGCTCATTCTTCATTATTACTTTTAACAATTCAGAATAACTGTAAAGTCATCGAAACAATGAAGTAGCTCATGGAAGCCTAAAAAAAAATCTTCTATGTCAAGGCGTGATGTTTCTGTGATTTTTGTTTAGTCTTTAAGTTTGTTTGGGTATGTTCGAGTTTATATGACTTTGTTTTTTATATGTCAATTTGTATTCTGAACAAACTGCGTTTCTAGTTTCATAAATGCTTTGTAAGTGTACTGTATGTTTATCCCTGAATCTAGGTCATTTCCGTCGATTATATGCAGATCTATGTGAAGTTTTGTGATTGGGCTCAGCGAGACCACCTTTGCAAGCACAACAGACTTTTTGCACTTTTCCTGTTTTAACTGATGTCACTGAATTGTGGTTGAGTTCAGAAAACAGCCTAACATGATCTCTGGCACACATTTAAAAAACCTTTAATTTCCTGCACACTTACTGTTAACACACACTGGAACAAAAACAAATGACAAGTTAGCAAAGTCACGTAAAAGGTGGGTTTTTTCATTCATGAAACAGAAATCGGTCTACTTTATGGAAATTCACCCTTTAAATAACAAGAATTTAACGTTGAACCAAAGCACAAGTTACACTGAGGTTTCTCACATGTGGTAAGTGTAAATGTAATACTGACACTTGGTTTGATTGTGTGAATATGTGGGTACATGCGTTTTCCTCTGTCTGCCTTCTTGATCTCTCAATAAAATGCCTTTGAATTTTCCATTGTACCTCCACATGACCCGTGAACAATCAAATGAATAAACATATTATTGTGCAAGTCTTGCATCCAACTAAAAGTGAGTTGGATGTGGTTTTTCAAGCAGTCGCAAGGTTAACCTGGTCATGTGAGATGTAAAAGAGGCATGCTGGTATCACATTTCCACATCTTTTCTAAATTTATACAATCAACTTCATGAAAATCCACCTTTCTTAGTGTTTTTGCATGTTGCTTTATTCTTTAAAACTTTATTGTTTTCTTATGTATGTAGCTAATAGTATAGCTAATAAGGTCGGGTATCGTTTGAATTTGAACGATTCTGATTCCGATTCCGATTCCTTGTTTCGATTCCGGTTCCTAACGATTCTCGATTCCGATTCTTTTAAGAGGCAGGGTCAAAAAAGTTTAGCTAACCTTTCTAACCAACGGTCTTTCTGAAGGAAATACTCCTTCTGTCACAAATTTTGCATTTTGCCGAGATTTCGTTATTTTTAGAAAAGCGAAGCCACACTTTGGATCGCAAGCTACTCATGTTCGACTCGCGCAATCATGCCAACACTTCCGGTAGACGCTTCTTCGTTGGTGTTGTTCAGCGGTTTCCTCTCCCGCTCGGCGGACTGTGAATATCGAAACTAGGAATCGAAATTTTAACTTTTGAACGATTCCGGGAAAAACGAAAAGTTAGTCTCGGTTCCAATCGATACTCGATTCTCGATACCCAACCCTAATAGCTAATAAGAATAACTTGCTCAATAATAATGACTTGCATGCACTTCAAACGCTCTAAACAGTGATAATATTGCTCGATGCAACAGCGCATTGACCTGTTTTCATTTGTGTTTCCTCGCTCTTGATGTCTGAAGTGAAACTCTCTCACACTAGTACAGTGTTCAGAAACAAACATCAATTATGTGTTTTCATTTCTGGACACAAACGGTAACACTTTACAATAAGGTTCATTAGTTAACATTAGTAAATGCATTAACTAACATGAACTAACGATGAGCAATGCATTAGTTACAGTGTTTATTAATCTTTGTTAATGTTAGTTAATATAAATACAGCTGTTCATTGTGCGTTAGTTCACAGTGCATTAACTAATGTTAACTAATACAACCTTTGATTTTAATAATGTATTAGTAAATGTTGGAATTAATATTAACTAAGATTAATAAATGCTGAATAAGTATTGTTCATTCTTAATACATGTTAACTAATGTAGTTAACTAATGTTAACTAATGAACCTTATTGTAAAGTGTTACCACAGAAACTAATAAAGAGTGAACTAACTGGGCAAATTAAGTGATAAACAGTTCTGCACTCTGCCGGTTAAGATGTCCTTGTTGTAGTTTGTGGCAGGTTTCTGTGTGCCTGTTGGGCAAAGAGAGAATGTAAAGAGATGACTGAAGATAAGCTGCCTGTATATTCTACAGAAAGTATAAGAATGAGCACCCTGGACATATAAATCGGGCAAATAAAAATAAAAAACATTTGCCACTAGATGGCGGGCCAGAACACAGTCAAAGGATATTTTAAGACATGAATTAATGAAAAATGCAACTAGAATGCAAATGGAAATATACTATATATAAAGGAGAGAGGCTCGGGAGCGTGTATGCATGTCACATCCTATGGATTTCGCAGAAAATCCGACCCGAAGACTTCACCTAATAGGAATACTGGCCTTCAGAGATAATAGCAAAACCCGACAAGTGGATCATTGTAATGTGTGATTACAACCCCTTCACACACAGGCAATAAAAAAAGGATTAATTTTAGAAGAAAAGTTACATACAGCACCTTTAAGGCCTGTCTCTGAATACCAGTATTATTTTGTACTTGATCTAAGAGTATTTTATGATCTATTGTATCGAAAAAAGAAAAAATTACAATCGAGCGAACACAATATTTTCTAGTATTTTAGACATAAATGGAAAATTTTAAATAGGTCTGTAATTTTGCTAATTCATTTGGATCTAATTATGGTTCATACCTGTCAGCTTTATTGGTCTTGAGGTAAAGACGAGTTGACAATAGGCTCTTCTACGACAGGTAACAACTCTTTCAGTAGTTTAGTGAGCATTGGATCTACCAAACGTGTTGTTGGTTTAAAGATGCAATGATAAGTTTATTTAGCTCTTTTGTCCTATAGTTGTAAAGCACTGCTATTTTTCTTGAGGGGTGATAATTGAGGCTGAATCATAAAACACTGTCAAAGATTGTACATTTACAATTGTATTCCTGATGCTTTCAATTTTCTGTTCAGGTGATGTCTCCTTTTTTCTGTGCTAAACAAGAAACTTTGATTGCTTTGTTTATACTCTTTAAGTTGGTGGAGCTCATTCCGGCAAAACAGCTGTTTCTCATGTTAATATATATAGTAAACTGTAATTCATTCCTGTGATCAAAGATTAATTGTCGGCATCATTACTCCAGTCTTCAGCAAAGGCAGTTTATGCTTAACCTGCAACTGTATCCAACACAATAACAACACAACTTCCTTTTTCTTGACAAACTCATTGGAACAATTTCCGCTGCATCTCTTCTGTCAGATGACTTGTGTTTCGATGAGCCAGCATTTGTTTTTTGTTTTTTTCCATTGGTTTTGTTTTTTAAACCGTCACCCAGGCTGTGTAGAGGTCAGTGTGTGGTGGAGCTGATGGAGACAGATGTGGACTCAGTTGAAGGGCAGGCGTCTGTATTCAGCCAGGCAAACCCTCTTTATGAAGACAACATGAGGCTCAATGAAGCCGAGCGCTACGACTTCCAGTACAACGGTGAGTGTTTCTGGGATGGTTCATTCTGATCAATTATGACATTCAGTGGTCTGATATTTTAAATACTGATTGACTGATGTTGGTCATGGAAATACTGTGCATTGAAATTTAAAATGGCACTAATTTAATTGCCCTCATAACATTTCAATAATGGACTTTTTCTGGACTTGTGCAGTTTTCTGTAGTTTAATCCAGAGTTCTGCATTGCTTGTTACAGAGCTAACGCTGAAGAAACCAACAAAGAACCGTTTCTGTATTCATGTTCTCATTGTGTTTCTCCTGCTCCTGATTGCACTGAACTCTTTCCTGGTCTATAAAGGTAAATAAATAAATAAATAAATTCACATTTTAAAAGTATATCTTTATAAATGCCCTTGCATTATATACAAAATGTCAAACGAAGTGGCATTGATTTGAAACCAAGCAAGTTTTAGGGTGTAAATAATTACATTATAAATAAACTTAACAAAATGAAAGAAGAATTGTGACCTTTTTATTATTTGTAGTTGTCAGAAGTCAATGGATCGTGTTGCTAGTCAAAGTGATTTCTACTCCTGTGGTTTCTCTATGACTGACTTAAAAAATGCACTTATACTGTAATCACCAAAACAAAAGCTGAATAAAATGTATTGGGCAAAAGGTCATTCTTTTACAGATCTCACTAAATATTTTGTTGTATAATGCAATAAAATGTGTACATTTCACATTTACCAATGCTTGGCGATTCATGGGCAAAACTCACTCTAGGAATCCATGCAAAAAAAAAAAAAAAAAAAAAAAAATCCCCCATGCAGATTTCACTGATTTTCAAGATGGTCACTTGAATTCACCGCACTGACCAATAGAAATCTGCTTGGTTTGAAAGTGAATTCTGTGTGAGCTGAGCTTTATACAATACGTATATAACTGACCGCTTTTATCGAATGTGTATGCACTTTACAGTAAGTGTCCAACACTTTTTGTGACTCCTGTACATGAATATTTCACAGCATCATGTAAGCTATCACCTTGTTTCTGTTGTTCCATCATTTAATCTGCTTTGTATGGTGTGTATTGTATGCAGTCTTCACTCTGGAGGCTTGGGTTCACACTCACTGTACATCAGCTGATCCCAGATCAGAGGAGCTCAAGTCTTCTGAAGGACTCAAGCTGGGCAGCTCCAGCTCAGATGGGGTAAATATACACACACTTCACACCATCATTCATGTTGTGCCATAAAAACACATACTGGGATATGAGCTGAAGGTGTGTGTGTGTTAACAGGAGTGTCTGTCCGATCTGTGTGGGAATGACGGGACTCTAGAGAAACTGAAGACTCAACTAAAACAACTCAACGTTAGTGCACAGAGAGGTACACATATACACACAAGAGAAATCCTACTGTTTGACCAGGGAATATATTGAGAATCTGTCATGATTTCAATCGTTCAAGGGATCATGAAATGCATTTTCAGATCTGTAATTACATAATGACTCTGTTGGCCTTCTCTTACCACTTAACCCTACCCAGACTACCAAACCTGTCCTAACCTTACCTGTATTACCTCAATAGCAGCACATGTGTTTGGGAAAATTGTTACATCAAGAATGGGAACATTTCAAATCCTGCCATTTCATAAGGGTGGAATTTAATTTCACAACAACACATATTTGAGTAATATTTAAGGTAAAAGTTGGAGTATGATTTCATTTTAGAGTAAACACTTACATGTGGAAATATCAAGAACACTTAAATTTTACATTTCATGACACCTTTAAAGCATTTTATCTGGAGACACCATAGGCGTGTCTCACAGAATTAAGGTTATTGTTTTCTTTTATATTTTATAGTCATGGTTGGTCCGCCTGGTCCGCCTGGATTACAAGGTAACTGTGTCCTGTGATAATGCCTTGAAAATATTGTCACTCAGTCCCCCTCTCACTCTAATTTAACATTAGTAGAAGCCTCTTGAAGTTTCATCTGCATAACTAACTGTGTTTCGTCCGGGTCCCTCCGGGTCACGGCACCAATGTAACAGGTCCCACTTGATATTCAACAATATTATTGATATGCTTGCATTAACACCATTATATGAGAGTTGAACTAAGATGGGCGAGGACATCACTGTTTTCTGAACACTGTAAAGGTGACTTGATTTGACTACTCGCACCGCTCTGAACGGGATTCAAACCATCATCAACCGGCATGGGAAGGCAGAGGAACGAGGTTTAGCTGCACAACTCTTCCTAACTGGAATCCAGGAGGATACCAAACATCTGTGAGGCCCCCAAAATCCCTGAAATCCTGTCCCCAGT